GGTGAGTGTGTGTCTGTGTGGGTGGGTGGTGGGTGTGTGTGTGTCTGTGTGTCTGTGTGTTTGTCTCCGTCATTTTGCGTAAAGAAATGTGAATGGAAACACGTACATACGTTTGTTTGATTTGTATGTGCGCTCGTTCTTGCATGTGTATACGCACCGCAAAAAAATCCTCTCTACGGACACAATCATTGCCAACTCCTCTCGTATGCTCTTGTGGTAAAAATCAAACTATAGGCGGCATAGCCTAATGCGCTTAGCTGGCTTCCACACCCCGCAGTCGTCGTTTGTTTCAAACCGATATTGTTGTGCAGAGGTCCACTGGACTCCCGCCAACCCTCTATCCGACCCTCCTATAAAGAAATTACGAACTATACCCATATCGACCGTGCCACATAATTAAAGCACCTTTTCTCGGGGCCTAGAGGTCTATGAATACACAAGTACATTACGTCCACGGTGCTTGGCGCAGCGTTTGGAACATACTTATTTCATTTAAAGGCATACAAGGAGGGAGGACAAAAACGCTTCTTTTTCTGCTCGACTTCTTCTGAACAAAGACAGTCCAACAAGCTGCGTATTTTGTTCCACAAGGAAGATTTAAATTCAAACCTATGACGCGTGGAGGCCTATACAATTGGCGGACCGATCGATCCTGATCAAGAAACATCGATATATGTGAAATCTACACGTCTGTTGTTTTAGTTGTCTCGGGTGTTTCGTACAGAGTTCGTTGATACAGTCTTCGTTCTGGATATTGCTAAAGTAAGTTCTAAGCTATATAGTAATTAATCACTACCTACAGATTCTAATTTCGTATGTTGGTATCTCTGCTTTATCTGCTGCTATGCTTTGCCTTTATGTACGAATGTCCATTTTTTATGTGCTTCCTTTTAGATTTATATAAATATCTATGTTATCTCCACAAAGCTACCAAACAAAGTTTTAAAAAAGTCTCCACAATAAGGTGACAATTCCTGTACATCACTTCTTGTAAAGGAAAGCAGTTTTTCAAGTTTTTCTTATCGCTTTCCTTCATTCCTGTTATTCTTTTATCACTAATTAGCTATTCTTTGTTATAAACACACCAACACACACGCAACCACAC